TTGTAGAACCATGTTCATGCAGGTGGACTGATGGAACCACAGCTGGACTGGGTTTGGTTTCACTTGCATGACTTGTATGTTTCTATTTTGGGGCCTGAAGTTTTAATCTTGTCCTTCTTGCAGGTGACAGAATTTTAAATGACTTGACGTTTAGGTGATTTTGCACAGAGATGGACTCACGACGTTCTGAGTCAGCTCCAGCTCACTGATGGATTCAGATCCTGTGATGCAGCGTTGCCACAGGAGACGCCATCGACATCGCGGCTGTCACACAAAGAGGACGGCATGAATTTTAATTCCTGCGTCACACATGATGCATAACATATACGCTACATCGCAGCCTTTGAGATTTGCTAAGTGCATCGTTGCACATCCCGATTCCAATTTTAAATCGATTAATTTTTTAGCCCTTCTGGGAAAATGCTGTTTCCAAGACAACCGTATGTCACACTTCCTGAGTTACAGACACTGGAGACGAATCAAAGAACTGCAGGTGTCGGCGCTAATTAATTTAATTAACATGAAGCTCTGAGCCTTGCTGCAGCAATCAGTTGATTTGATGTATTTTGGGGTTTCCGGGTGTGATTGGGAGGAGGTTGCGTAATGTGCAGGTAAACAGCAGCCTGTAGACGACGGAGGTTCACCGTACAGCTGCTGCATCACTGAACACCAGACCTACCCATCATGGGCTTGTGGGTCCTCAGGCTGGAGTTTCTCTTTTAGCTCTGAATGATCTGTGATGGAGTCACTGAAACACTTCAGTAATCACAACAAACAACCTGAATCATGGGTTTTGGTGATGTAGGAGGTTGTGGTAACCACATATTCTTAGTTTCATGGCCTCTTAACTTCTCACTTTTAACCCCAAGAACACCAACCCTAGTGTCAAGCATGGAGGTGGCAGCATCATGCTCTGTGGACCTGGAGCTTTACACAAAGTAGATGGAACAATGAAGGAGGAGGATCACCTCCATGTTGTTCAGGAAAACCTGGAACCATCAGCAGAAGGTTGATCTTGGACACAGTTGGATGTTCCAACCAGACAATGAGCCCAAACACACATCAGAGTGGTGAAGAAATGGTTCCATCAGGCTGGACTGAAGGTTCTGGACTGGTCTCCCCAAAGTCCTGACTGATGTAGATGTTTGTGACTTCAAACCTGATCACGTCTCTCTTGGCTTTCAGGTTGACGTTAACTCTGTCGTGTCCCATGGATCTGAAGAACTTCCCGATGGATGTTCAGACCTGCATCATGCAGCTGGAGAGCTGTGAGTACGAGTTCACCCACACAGACCAAACTTTCATCAAGCCGTGCCTTTGTTTCCCATGTAAAGCTCCTTCATCCAGGTGTTCACAGCGTTGTTCAGGTGACTGAGGAGGCAGGTGAACTCTCACTGTGCTGCTGAGGGGTGAACTCATCTTTCTGGGTCATGTAGCGCTTATCGGACAGGAGGTAAACTCAGACACTGGGTGAGCTGAGCCAAAGCCTCCTTTTCAGACTCAAACCTGATCAAACTGATATTCTGTGTTCTGCCCCACATTGGACCAGAACCACCTAGGATGACAAAGCCAGATTAAAATAGCTCCTGACCCGCTGTATGCATGAACGAGGTCTTGGCAGAAAACAAAACCCTGATGATGGCTTGATTCAGAAACAGAACCATCCTGTAACGTTCACCGCCAAAACAAAATTAAATTAAATTAATTAACTTCAAAGGAAAGTGTTTTTCCAGTTATTGGTTAAAAAAACAAAATGAAGCAACTCGTGGAAATAAACACGAGCAGCTAAAATAATACGTAAAAGTGAAATCACACATAATGTGTGTAATGCTGCAAATGGTACCGAGGTTATTGTTCAGATTTATGTGTTTAGAACACTTTTATGTCAAATACAGAAGAAGTACAAGAACGTTGATGCTGTTCCTGCTAAAACAAGAATCTGACAGGTCCAAATCTGCTCATGTGTTCATGATCAGATCAGATGAGACAGAAGAAAACAGAAGATGTTTGACAGTATTTCTCTCCTCACTGAGTTCAGCTTTAACTTGTTTCTCATTTAGTTCTGTGAAATAAAGTCATGTGTGGTCTCTCTTTGTCTGGTCGGCTGGGATGTTTCTCCTACTGTGAGGAGGGTCATGTATGACTTTAGAGTTCCACAGCATCAGTTACCATGGAGACCTAGCTCCACAGCATCAGTTACCATGGAGACCTAGCTCCACAGCATCAGTTACCATGGAGACCTAGCTGTGCAGCATCAGTTACCATGGAGAACTAGCAGGTAAAAAGAGAGCCACCTCTGTGACACTGAAAACTCTGGCTTTAGGCTCAACAGACCTGCTGACCCACCGATCTGGCTTCGGAGTGCAGAACTCTGGTGCTGTGAAGTCCAGAGCTGCAGCGGTTCATCAGCTACCGGGTCGGTTGTGAACTCGTGAATTCGTCTCGAACTGTTTTCACAAACTGTTTGAAAACCAGCGTAAATTCTCTGATTGCAGCTTCTCTGATGTGAGGGTTTTCTTGTTTCTGTCGACTGAATATCGTCGGGTTGTGAACTAAACGTTTGTCATCTTGAGAACCTTTTAGAACGACTGATCCACACGTTTCACCGTTTTCTGACACGAATGGTCCAATAAATGAGAACTGCAGCGCTGGTTGTTATAATAGAACGTAATCCGGTCGGTCTGTCTCCTCTCTGGCTTCCACCTTGTTGGTTCTGTGCTTCATAAAATACATTATTTGTGGTTTGGTTTGAAGCAATGGGGAGGACTGGTGGTGGAGGAGGTTAGCTGATGAGCCTCATGCAGCTCACCATGAAGTGAACCCCAGAGGGAGATCGTTGTGCTGCCTTCTTAGACCTCCTGACCCCTGGGCAGCCTGGTTCTCCTGCATCACGCCTCCTCCTGGTTCATTATTTATCGTGTTTGCGCTGTTCAGATCCAGGAGATGAGGCTTTCACCTGCGAGGGGACGGACGGACTGACAGACCGGGATTAAGTTGGTTTAGGAATAAAGGCTCGACACTGTCAGTCACACTTTGTGGATTAATAAGTGAACATGGCTCCTCCGCTCCCTCCTCGCTGTATTATTCATCAGACTGCCTCGGCGGCGGCGGCTCGTGTTCGTGCCGTACGGGTGAGCGTATATTCCATAGCTGGGCGATGTGTCCGCCTGGATCTGTCTCTGGAAGCGCAGCGGCTTAAACTCTGCACGCCACCGGATGTCTGACATGGACTCCACCACCTGTGCAGGCAGGAGCTTAATGCTGCGAAGAACAGAGCGGTTTAGAACCGAGAACGTCGTGTAAACGCCGACACAAGTCACGTGGACAAAGATCAGAGCAGCAGCATCCTCGTAGCCCTGATGGAAACTCAACCAACACCCGTTAATTAAGCCTGAGCTCCAAGCAGATTCTCCTCCTCTTCATGTGTCTTCACTGCAGTTCTGCAACATAAAGCAGCTCTGTGGAACCAGAACAACATGAAGAAGGAGACAGAACTCAGAGACATCTTCTGTCAGCAGGACAGGATCTTTGTCATGTTGGTTCTCCGTTGCTTTTACAGAATGTGGCTACGACAAGCGGTTTATTTTTAACATGTAGAAGACAGTGATTTTCTTGAAGCATATATCTGGATTTTTGGCGAAGATTTGGTTGTTTCTCACAACGAAACTTGCTTCAGATATTTTACACTTTTTCCAGCGATAGGAAGATGTTCCACCATCAGATGTAGAAAGATGTTCCACCATCAGCCGTAGAAAGATGTTCCACCATCAGCTGAATGTATCTCCACCAACTGGCTCCTCTGGTCTCTGGTTCTGATCCGTGCTGCATCTATTCATTGATCCAGTAGGATGGATTCTCCTTCAGCCTCTCTGAGGAAACTCTGGCTGCAGCTCACCTGAAACTCTCTGAATGTTTCCTGCTGGTCTCAGCTGAAGATGGAGAATCAGAACCAGGACGGTTTATTTTTTCAGGCTGATTCCCACTCGATCTAACTTCCATTTTTTCCCCTGATGAAGGTCTGGCACCAAAACGTCGTTAGTAAATGTATTTTTTCTAAATGAGCTGTTTGGGCTTTCCCTTGTCTCCAAGTGAAGCTTGTGGCACAGCTACACGTCCTGAAGAACCTGACAGTTCTTTCTGTTTTGCAGTTTCATGGCTGATCATTGATGTATATTTGGAGATGTGGAGGCCTGTAGGTTTTGGGGTTTCGAGGGTTAATGAAGCACAGAGTCGTGTTTAATCACGTCGATGACTAATTCGGCCTCTCGTCCAATCAGCAGCCTCAGGGCCCTTTGGACGGCTTGTTTGTCTTCATTGGTGGTTTTATTCTTCTGCAGCTCACTGGCCAGAGGCATTACCATACTTAGATCTGCTTGTTATATTTATATATATATGGGAGAGATTATTTCTGTTGCTGCTCCGTGTGCTGTCATGCAGCAGGAAACACGGAGACACGCACATGCGGAGAGGATGAAGGCTGCAGTCGTGACACGATGCATGTGTGAGATGAAAGGAAAATAACTGCCTCCATCCAGATCCGTCTTCATTTTAATATTACATGTCTCATGTATGTGCCTGATGTGTGGCGGCGCGGTGGGTCGCAGGCTAACGCGGTGCGGTTCAGGGAGGATGTTAGTTAACCAGCAGAGCTCTAAAACATCCACAGATGCTTTGTGAAGCGCTCAGGGCTCCGTCTCCGCTCCGTTTTCCTTTGGTTCTTTATTTTCTGTTGTTTCTCCCCCCTCCTCCCCCACATGCACACACTTTTCACACACTTTGAGCTGAACCTTAAGCAGCACGACGGAGTAAATGTTCTGGCTGTAGGCTTGTACCGGCGAGCACCAGCTGGGTCGACTGCATTCTCTCCCATGTGTCGGTCTCAGATAACCGTCTGTGCACTTGGTTTCCTTTTCTGTCGGTATAGTCTGCGTTTGGAGGACGGAACAAGACGGTGTGACGGAGAACCATGTAAACATGATGGTTGACGGAGCATTTGGACAGAGTGAAGGATGATTCAGTCCCTGAAGATCCGCAAAACATAGACATGAATCAGGAATCAAGAAATTAGTCTAATGACTGTCCAACATGGCTGGAACCACGTCCAAAAAGACAAAACATATGATCCAAAATAAACTGAAACGTGTCCAGAATGACCCCAAATTTATCTAAAATCTGGAACTGTTATGTACCTCCCCAAATTAGTTAAAAATGACAACAACAGGTCCAAATGACCAAAAAAAATTATGTCCAAGATTAATCAAAATTTGTTAAAAATGACATAAAGGCTTAACATTTATTTAAAGTGACTCAAATTTATTGGAGGTGACATTAATGTGCCTAGAAGGATTTTAAATGAGTTTAAAATGACTTAAAATGTGTTGACGATGACATAAACTTGTTCAAAATGACCAAAAATGTGTCTAAAAAAAACCTAATTATATCCAAAATACCTCCATTTTGTTGGAATTGACAAAGACTTGTCCACAGTGGATGTCCAGATGTGTTTAAAATCACAACCCTGTTCTTTAAACGGCTCTGAAAGGACAGAATTCATCCAAAATTACTCAAATTTGACAGGAAATGACTAAAACTAAAGATGTCTCTCAAAACACTTGTTTTTTAGGGGTTTTTTTCTGTGGGGGGGTTCTTTCCAGAAACTGATTTCTACATGAACAATATTTTATTTTCAGTCTGACTGGAAGAAAACACAGAAACCTCAAGTTCTGTATGAAATGACATCTAAACCTCTCCGGAATGATTTCAAATACGATTAAAATGGCAAAAACCTGACAACAAAAATGCCTAAAATACGTCCAAAATGCATAAGATTTAGTGGGAACTGACAGAAACTGGCCTGAGATTCGTCTGAAGCTGCTCAACAGGACTTTAAACCTGCTGCCCGGTGTGTGTAGAAGGACTTTGATTTTGTTGAATTGACAGAAAAATGTTCAAAATTATGAAAAATATGTCAAACGTGGCTCAGAGTTTGGACTCCAGATGTGTTTAAAATGGCAAACCCTTGATTTTAACGATCCAAAAATGACAAGAATGTCTGTAAAAGAAATGACTGAATATGTTGAAGTCTGTGCAGAATTACTCAGTTTATCCAAAATGGCTCGAGTTTTGTAGTAAATGTGGATAAACGTGTCCAAAATGGCTTAAAATGTGTTTGAAATGATACAAAAAGTGACGCACAATGTGTGAATGTGAACACGACGAGGCTGTGAGACAACCTGTGAGGGTTAATTAGACCTTTAATTGCCGTCTCTCCTGTCCAGACTCAGCGTGAAGCGCTTCCTGGTTTCCGTCGCGTGCTGCTGCTGCGTTCAGACATGAACTCCGGCTGTTTGCTCTCTGAGCTCTAAAAGCTTCTGAAAGCATCCGGTGCTGCAACAGAACTAAGTACATTCACTGGAAGCACGTCGATAAATAAAATATTGTTATTGTTGCGTTTACATGATATTTCACATTTAATGCTGCTTTGTGCAGCCGCGGATTAAACGTTCCATATAAAACCCGTAACGTGCAGGAAGGATAACGGCAGTTTATTTCATCCATTAGTGTCTGCTGTGATAAGTTCTCCTCCTCTGATGCACACATTCAGACAAACAGGAACACAGCGGCCTCCTGTCCAAGAGAAAAGACTTTACATGAGTCATGTTTAGTTTTCAGTCTGACTGAGAGGAAACAAGCATCAGAGATCTTCCTCCAGAACCTTCACGGTTCTGTCGGTGAAACGTTTCCAACGTGACGGAAACTTCTGCAAAATGACCGATACATGTCCAAAATGAACAGAAATCAGTTGGAAAGGACGGAAACGTGTCTGAAACGACTCTGGTTTTATCCAAAATGGCTCAGATTTTGTTGAACTAGACAAACTCGTCTCCAAACTTGTCCAGATTTCAGTAAACATGACAGCAACCGATTCAAACTGTCAAACCAAACATGTCCTACATGACAACAGACGTGTCCATATTTACTGAAGATGTGCTGAAATGTGTCCAAAATGATGTGTTTAGAACCACAGTCATCAGAAACGGGAATAAAAAATGTGTAAAATGAAATAAAATCCGTCCAAAACGAATCGTGTCTTCAGTTGCTTTAAACTCATCGAAATGAAATTTGTTTAAATGATAAAAATGGAAAGTGACTAGAAATGATTCCAAACGCACCAGAACGTGTTGGTACCAGTACCTAGTGTTCTGGGAACGTTCCCTGCTAGCTGGAGTTCAGAACCAGAACGAGATCTGTTACAGAAACAAGCACATCCCATAAAGCTCTACGGACCCCTGGCTGCAGCTCGCTCTGTCAGCTGGTGACGGTTCTGTGTGTTCTTTATGTTCTTTATGTTCTTTGTGTTCTTTGTGTTCCTTCAGTCGGTTACACCATGAACGACCTGATCTTTGAGTGGCAGGAGAACGGACCGGTCCAGGTGGCCGAGGGACTGACGCTGCCTCAGTTCATCCTCAAAGACGAGTCCGACCTCAGATAC